GTTCAATACAAAAAAAAAAAAAAGACCTATGAAGGGAAACCCTTACTTTGTCAAAAAAAAATGAAGAGGAATATTGAGGCTATTTCTGTCTTTAGAATAAAACCCCAAAGCCTACTTCAAAACAACAAATAGAAACTTTCTAAGAGTTTTTTTTTGTAATGAGAAACTGTCAAGATTACTAATATACAATAATAGGTAAGCATTTTATTTCAAAAGTTAACACAATTTAGTAGTTTAAAATATTTTTTGTCTGTGTTTGTTTTTGTTGGCTTTGTTTTCTTTATTTTTATTTTGGACACCATTACAGATGTCCCCATTCCCCCCACCCCCACCCCCCGCATTAAATACCATAAGTTTGAATACTGGCTCAAATACTTACTAGTTTTGAAACATTATTAACTTGTCCACAGCTCAGTTTCTTCTTCTGTAAATTGGATAATAATGCAATATCTATCTTATGGGACTATGGTCAGAATCAAGTGAAATAATTCTTATCAACCACAGTGCCTAAAGCACAGTAATAAAAAAAAAAAAAAAAAAGCTAAAATTTGCTATTATTTTGCTTTGATAAGGGTGATCAGCATATTATTAATTCTTAAGTAAATCAATTTTGATAGTTGCTGGAATGAAAATGGTAAGAACTTTGGGCCCTTTCCTCCCTATTTATTTGCTCTTTTACCAGTCCCTCTTCACATCTACATACACTCACACGACACTCTTTCTGCATCCTTGAGGCCAAGGCTGTTCTGAAAGGGCCATGTCTCATTCCCTGTGTGGGACAGGGCTAGGATCCCTACTGTGTTAGAACCTTCATGTAGTCTGTCCAGGCTCAAATGATCTCTGATGTTACCCTGGGTTCTCCAATTAATTTCTGCTTGTTGGAGAAACATTTTGAGAAACTTAGCATCATATCTCTTACAGATAAGAATTCTTGATTGATTAAAATGGTACTGGGGTACACAATGCTGATATGTTTTAAATAATAAGAGTAGGTAAATGTGTTTACTGAACCAACGGTTATAATAAGTGCAAATGCAATTACGGTTGCTATGATTATTGGTTTGGTTATCATTTGAAAGAGGAAGAAATAAAGCTGAGAAAATGGGTAACATAGTTTAAAGGGCTTTCTATGCCACAGCAAGAAGACTTCCTTCTACCTCTAGGCCTACAGGCAAACAAGAGGCTCAGGCAAGTAACTGAACAGCAGCCAACAATGGATTTCTATTTCTTCATCAGTAAATTCCCTTTGTGTCCTAAGGTTTTAGAAATCTATTTATCATTACCACTCTGGTCGGCCCAGGAGTGTCACAATGGCTCAGGGTACAGTCATAGCACTAACAAGTGGCATTTATATTTCTCACTAGTTGATCAGAACTTCAAACATGACTTGATGGGAGAGTATGTTGAGGTGGTAGGGCTGGGGTTAATGGGAGGATGGGGAGGCACAAGGAAGAAGAAAAGGGGGAGGGCATTTTGTGAAACCAGTTCAGATCCAGCTATTCTGCCTTAAAAGTCTTCCTGGGCATCTCTAGCTCTTGTATAGAAATTTCAATATTACTATTTTAGAGTACCTTGAGAAGAAAAATATAATGGGATAAAAACACACTAAAATAAAATATTTGAAGTAAATATTTTCAGTTGAATCTATCTCCATGTAGACATCAGAGAGTAGGAGTTTCCATGATCAAGTTTCAGGCAGGCACCTTACAATGTGTAGAGAATGAGTGGTTAAAGGCAAATCCTTCTCCAACACATGGGGAGGGCCAAACAACTCACATCTCTACACCAGCAATAAACTTTTGCCTCTGAAAAAGGTGTTGGCTTTTAACTTGTATGCCTCTTTATAGTGCTCTATTGTAATTATTTATGCACAGAATATACACTATATGGTTTTACTCTTTGCCCAATATGCCCATCCTCTTTTCTGATATTTAGGTTTTAATATTTCAGCAAAAAGAATGAAAGGCAGTTTCCTAGCAACATATGTATTCAAAAACACAACAGAATAAGCTTAATCACAATACTTTGCCCACCTCCCCAGTTAAGTCCTGCCTTTTGGGGGAATTTAGCAGGTAGTAAAGGAAGTGAGGTACATACAAAGAATCTGATAGGGCCCTGCTGGCTCAGTAATTGAACATTGACCAGGCATTATGAGGTCACCGGTTAGATTCCAGGTTAGATTCCCGGTCAGGGCACATGCCCAGGTTGTGGGCCCAATCCCCAGAATTTGATAGGAGAGGCTATGCAACCTCACTTGGCCTTCCATCTAGAACAGGCAAGGGCAGGATGGTTAAGTCTTGCAGATAAATGCTGCTCTTAGAACAGTAGTAGTAAGAGACATAGAAATAAAGCCACGTGTATTTTAATACAGATTTCTATTGCAGATGCGAACCACTGGGTGGAAGTCATACTGAACTAGAAGGCAAGATGGCTGGGTTCCTACTAACCCACATACTAACTACCTGTGAACGTTGGGGTGGGTCTCCTTCCCTAGGTTCTCTTTCTAACTGGAGGTTACTCTAAGAAGAGATGATCCCAAAGGTCCTTCCCAACTCTAAACCGCTACTGATCATCAGATCTGATTTTTTATGTTTAATGGCATTTGTTTAATCAACATCACGGTTTCACTAATATTATTGCTGCACCCCCAGTAAGGCATCACTGGGTAATTAAGCAGCTGGCTTTCTTCTGGGGAAAGATCCATGTCCCGCCTTCCAGTGACTTCCTGCCTGCCCACCAGGCCCAACAGCAGGAGTGAGATGGAAGTGGTCTGATTTAGCAGCAGCGGTGGTCAAAGTTTGCAAGAAAAACCTCTTGGTTGAGAGGAAATGGTTTTCATTTTCCTGCCTACAGAAAAGCCAAGGTTTTCAAGTTTAAAGAGTGCACGCGAGTCATTTTAAGTCTCTAGATCGTTCTCCCTGAAAGTCCCTGTACAGAAACTCCGCAGGGAGTCTAAATATAGCAACAGCAAACTCCCCCCAGCTTGAAGCCCCGGCCCTCGCGCGCAGCCCTAGGATTGGAGAGCTTGCTCCAGGGCGCTCTCTGCATCTGCCTGGAATAGCAGGGAACCAAGCAATCTCTCTTGCACCTCCACAGAGCGTGGGTGTGAAGTGTAATAGGGGAAAGCGAGAGTAACTCTGGGTATTGGTGCTTGGCGCTCAGTCATGTGGCACTTCTGCCAGCTGCATGGAGAGGCTCTGGGGCTAGTGCCCGCCATGGGCAGTCTTCCGGGGAAAAGAGGGAGAGAAAGCAGGGTCCTGCCAGTGGCCAGGAGCCGGCAAGAGGGCTTCACGAAAGTAATAGCCGTAACAATAAAAAGTAAACATAAAGCATTTAAATGGAACTGCTGCCAGAGGCAGAAAGGAGCTGTCGCTGGCGTGGGTGTGTGTACAGGACAGAGTTGGGAGAATATCTATCTCAGGGGCGGAGACAGCTGAAATAAGACTTTTGCCTTAGCACTGCCTGGGTTTTAGGCTTCTGGAAGGAATAAGGCACACAGGGTCACTACCTTGCAGCTATGTGCTGTGGTTTTGTGGTAGACGCTTAGTTCTTCCTTCAGTTTAACTTGGTGATCGTTTTCGTTCATTCTGGGGAGGTCTGCTCTGTTAGAAATTCTCAAGCCTGGTTTCCTTTCAATTTCCCCACGCTGACTGTGATGTGTCACTGCTTATACTTTATAATACAGTGTTAACGCAGGCCAGAGGCCGCAGCCGGTGACACTGTGGCCTCCCTCCTCGCCAAGGGCTTTGGGCTGCCCAAGTGTCGGTGGTGGTGGGAGACCCAGCAAGTTTTAACTCTGGAAACGTCTCTCACGGTACAGCACACAAAGGTGGGGTGGAGACTCGGAGAAACTGGTGTCCTGGGCTCTCCACCCCCCAGGATTTCCCCCAAAGACGCTGGGTCCGCCGCTGCCACTGCTGAGACTTCGCAGTTTTATGACGTTCTCGACTTAAATGGAAATTTCTTGAAGGAGGGAAGCGGGTTTCCCCCCCACACACACTCTTCGCGCCACTGTCAGGGGGAGCCCCCAGGCAGGTCGTTAAACCGTGGAGGGGCCACTTTGGAGTTTTTATGCTCTCCCCATATTCCACCTCCGGGCTGGGAAAGATGGAGAGTTTTACTCGCGGGCTTGCTGACTGAGGCTGGGATGGTAAGACACAGCCTGCAAGCTGGAATGAGCCGCGGGGAGATGCCCGGTCCCCGCCTCGCCGTCTCGGCAGTCATGTCCTGCGGGGCTGCACACTGAAGAGCCGTGCGGGACCCGAGAGCCACTGCCCGGAGCGTCGCCCTGCGCGCCCGCTCTGGGACTGGTTGGTACCTGCACGGCAGGTCAGGGCCGTTCCCGCTCACACACCCCTTGTAGAAGGATGGCAGGACCTGGTGCAGCAGCGTAGCGACGGGAGAGAGCAGCGACCTGCATCTGCAGCTTCTCCTCTGGGCACGAGGCAGACTTAATCTTCCGGACAGCTCCAAAGCCCCAGAGAAAACCAAACCAAACTCGCTCTTCGGAAAGGGGCTTTCGAGCCCCGACCCCTCCGAGGGAGGGGGACAGACGCAGCCTGGGCGTGGAAAGTGGAAAGAGAGAAGAAAGGGGGAGCCTGGGGCTGGGTGTGCGCGCGTGGGAGCGCGCCTCTGAGCGACCCGCACTACACGTTCCAGCCCTGGGGCACTTCGGAAGGAGGAGTGGTAGCCACGGGAATCAGAGGGAACAAGAGAAACCCTCTCAAAGTGACGCCCCAAACAGGTCCGGATTGAGAATTCGAAGCTAAAGGCTGCTAGAAATTGGGACTCCTCTTCCTCCTCCGCACACCCCGCTCCACCCCAGCCCCTAAGCCCCTGCGGTTTGCCGGCTTCTTGCTTCTCCGCCCCCGACTCAGAGGTCGAGGGCCGGAGGGACCCAGGTCCGCTGCGGCTTCCTCCTTGAAACCCGCCAGCGCGCATGAGGCCGCTGCCCCCGCCGCAGGCACTGGCGCCCCCCTCGCGGTGCCCGTGGTGATGCCATGCCCCGCCACCACGCGGGAGGAGAGGAGGGCGGCGCCGCCGGGCTCTGGGTGAAGAGCGGCGCGGCGGCGGCGGCGGCGGGCGGGGGGCGCCTGGGCAGCGGCATGAAGGATGTGGAGTCGGGCCGGGGCAGGGTGCTGCTGAACTCGGCGGCCGCCAGGGGCGACGGCCTGCTGCTGCTGGGCACCCGCGCGGCCGCGCTCGGCGGCGGCGGCGGCAGCGGCGGCGGCGGCCTGAGAGAGAGCCGGCGGGGCAAGCAGGGTGCCCGGATGAGCCTGCTGGGGAAACCGCTCTCGTACACCAGTAGCCAGAGCTGCCGTCGCAACGTCAAGTACCGGAGGGTGCAGAACTACCTGTACAACGTGCTGGAGAGACCCCGCGGCTGGGCATTCATCTACCACGCGTTCGTGTGAGTACCCGCGCCCCACGCGCGCCCCCTGCCACGCCCGCTTCCAGGGGCCAGTGTGCCTGCCCCCTGGGACGCGATCCGCGCCCACGCCCTTGCCCGGCGCGCTCGCGGGCTGACACAGGCGCGTACACACACACACACACACTCGCGCGCACACGTGGTGGCTTTTATTTCTTTGCACGTGTTTATGGTCTTCCTCATAGAGCCTTCCAGCTCCCGCAGCCCCACCTCTCCCAGCTCTCCAAACTGAACCTTCTCTCCGAGCACACCCAATAAGCTGTCCGGCAGCTTTAGGCACCAAAGGCGGGAGCCAGACAGACGTGAGAGCGAAGCTGCGCGGATAATTGGGAGCGATTAGGTCTCGAGACACGTCAACTTCAACCAAGCGGGGCGCCTGGGAGCTGGGAAAAGCAAAGGGAGGGCGTGTGCCCGTGTGAGGCTTGTGAGAGTTTACTGGCGAGGTTAGGAGGTGATGGCGGGGTAAGTGGAGTGGAGAGAGTCCTGGGGGCGGAGCCGGGGAAGCTGCTGTTTGGTGGCAAGAACAGCTCAGTTTTAAGTGCGCCCGGAAACACGCCTAGCCACCACCAACGGAAAATCTGTCAGTGTATGTAGGTAGCCCTTCCTGCCACAGAGGTGGCCAAGGTCTGGAAGAGGCCAGCAGGGCCGAGCGAGGTGATGCTCCGGAGAAAGTGGTAGAGGCCAGGGGGCAGTCTGGGGCGCAGGAGCCCTGGCCAAAGTGCAATAGCAGACGCGCAAGTGGGTTGCCCAGGACAGGGATCAGGCAGTGGGTTAAGTAGGTATTTGTGGCGCTGAGTCAAAGTGTGTGTGTGTGTGTGTGTGTGTGTGTGTGTGTGTGTGTGTGTGTGTGTTAAGCCATCACCATCTAGCAGAGAATTCTTAATGAGAAAATGATTGGAAGCAAATGTTTATTTTTCCCTTAGGCATTTAAAACCTTTCAGTGGCTTTAAAGTTTACTACTGTTTTTCCCACAACGTCCATTCATTCAGTCTCCTGTAGAGTTAGGTTTATCTGGACATTTAAAGGTACTTTTATGCCATTACACCCCTTTAATTCCCCCCCTCTTTTTTTTTTTTTTTTTGTCCTGATTTTTTTGTGTTAAAATAAAATATAAAGATGTCAGCCTTAGGAGACCAGTGGAGAAAGTTGCAGCCACTGATACTTCCTTGTTTCCTAGTAAATGGGTTTTGAACACGTGAACTAGGTTTCTTTTAGAAATGAGGCATGCCATCCAAACATAGCTCTCACCTCGGATGGGGGATTGGCACCGACAGCAAAATTTTTTGAAATAACATGGAAGAAGGGGCTGGTTTTGTAAATAGGTGAACCTGGAATTTGACCACGTCCCTAGGAGTCAGGAAATTGGTGGAGTCTACAATCTGTGGGGCTCTGGTGTCTGGAAAATTTTACAGTCCCAGATTGATGTGAACATGTAGCATTAGGTAAAATATTCCAGCCAACTTTCCATCTTACAATGTACACAAGGAGAACGTTGTGTTGCATTATTATTACATCAAAAGGTATAACTTTTATTATTCACTTATGTAAAATTCACATTGATTTAGATGTGATTACTGTAATATATGATAGACATAGAGAAACACTACTGATACTTTTCATGTTCAACCTTTTCGAGTTGACATACAATTAATCCTATTACCTAATGAGCCTAATAAATTATTTTGACCTGTCAGGATCTACTAAAACATTTAGCAATAATGATCTGTGCTCAATTTGGCAGCAAAATATATACTGTATGGATAATGACTTTTTTTTTTAAAAAAAAGAGTATGCTCAAAATATTCATAGCTTTGAATTTGCATTATGATGCCATTCATGGCATTTAATTTTTGGTAAAGTATGCATTGTGTATTTAGAGAGGGTTAAAGACAAAGTTGGTGCTCACACTTTGTATATCCTATGTGTTGCCCTTGAACCTGAATGAGTGCTTCTTGTAATGCAACATATTTTACCCCAAATAGGTTCACATTTAGCAGAATTTCTAAATTTTGACAAATTATTTTTTCAAGAGGTTCCAGTTTGGATAATTCTCTATTCACTAGGTTTAATCAGTCTGTCGATGTCTTTAGTGGTCGATATGAAATAAATTATGTAGTTTTCAGTATGATATGCTAATGTGAAGCTTTGTATTATACATTTCTGGAGTCTGAAACTATAATGTTTGAGCCATTAGATAGGGGTGCTAGGTCCACATTAACATAAAAAGGGAATGAATAGTATCATTTTCAGGGAGGATTGTGCAACTACAGCCGAACCTGTGGGTCGGCCATCTTTGTCAATTGTTGTTTGTAATTTTAAATGAGCTTTAGAATAGTTGGATTTTATGCATTAAGTTAATAAAGGAAAGTTACTTTGAACTGTGAATCTAACAAGACTATTAAGAATAAAGGACATTATAAGAAAACTATCTCTAGAGGGGTGTAACTAACTCATTCTCTGCCAGCCTGGGAATCCCCAAATCTAACTTTAATAACAGTTTTTGTAGCACATTAAGGTTCTTGCCAAGAACAAGTGCACTGTGATTAATGAGGTACTTCAGGGATGGATTTACTTGGTAGACCCAAGTTTTCATTGCCAAGAAGCAGGAAAAGTGTGTTTAGAGTTCTGTTTCAGGTAAAGAATTTTTTTTGTTAAATATGCAAAAAATCATTATTATAATGGTATTTTAATGGTATAAAATGTGGTGTCAAGTATATATATTCTAGCCTACTGATGAGATAGATAGTTGGCAAGAACAAGAGATGACCTATTTCAAATATTTGCTTCCAATCTTTATAAATTGGTGATGAGAGGGTCTATTTCCTTACTGCTCTTTAGGATTTACCAGATAGCTATGTTTCCTGGTTTCTTGTTTCCTGTCTTTAGCTCTTCTTCAGTTTAATAGACAAGATATTCAAGTATGAGATGACATAGTTCTTTGAATGTTGTTTGTCTATTTTTAATTCCTTCTCTTTTTAGGAAAAGTAGAGAAAAGTAATAGTGGTAGGAGAGGTACACATCATGGGGCTCCCTGTATAAATCTGCATTGGTGCAACAAATGTGGTATTGAGAAATAACATGGGAAACAATATGGCAGATACATGTAATTCATCACTTTGTACAGTGTATCTTTGTCTGGTGTATTACCATAGATTAGAATTTGTAGATATTTTAAACTAGAAATAGTCCAGTCACCCAAGTTAGGAATCTGGAAGTCATCCTTGATGCCTTTGTTTTCCTCATACTTGCTCCTAATGACCATTCAAATGATCATTAAATTCTGTGTATTCACTTTCTAAATATTTTTCAAATCTTTTTCCTTTTCTCCTTTGCTGCTGCTGTTTCTCAAAGTTTCTCTATTAGATTATGTGTAATATCATCCTACTTAATCATCTAGCTTCTGTTCTCAGCATTCCAGCTCTGTTTTAACACCATAATGTTCTCCCTAAAATGCAGATCACATCATGTAATTTCCTTGATTAAAATCTTTCCATGACCATCTACTCATTCATTCATGCATGCATGTATCTGCCAACATGTAAGTGCCTAGTATGTGCTGATTCCTAATTAATAAGACAAAGGCCTCCATTTTCAAGGAGGGAATAACTACACAATGGAATGACTACAAGCTTGTAAACAAATATGAAACAATGTTATCTGTGCTGTTGTTGGTATAAGTACAAAGTCTCAAGGGAAAAGAGAGGGAAGTAGAGATGAAGGCAGAAAGGTAAGCCCAGGTTTCAAAGAGGAAATGAAGAGTGAGCTGTTTTTACAAATGAGTAGTTAATTTTTAGGTGGTAAAAGCAAGGGGAAATGAGCAATCCTGTTAGAGAAAACAGCTTGGGCAAAAAAGTGGAATTGTGAATCAACACAGTAATTCTAATACTGTTAAGTATTTGCAGAATGAAGACAGCTGCAAGAAAGAGAGTAAATTAAAGGCATATACACCTGACCTTAGATGGCCTCAGATCCTGGCCATGAAATCTGGTCTTTATCCTGTAGGCAGTAGTGGTCACTGAGTGGTAATACTCAAAGTAAAGATGTAATCAGATAAAATTTGGGGGAATATCTGTCTTTCATTGATTCAGTAAATGGACCAAAGGGTGCAAAATGGAGTCAGTATGGCCTGGAAAAGATTATTGCAGCTGGCCAAGTTTTCTATTTATTCTTATGTTTATTTAATCCATAAATGCATTCTACAAATTTCTGTTTGACTATCCACTACGTTTCATGGACTGTTCTAGAAAGGTGAGAGATTATTACCTAAAGAACTTAGGCAGTAACTGTGGGGACAAGAAGAGTCTAATTAGAGAAATGTTAAGTAGATAGACTTGGCAAATTCTTTTCACCAGTCTAATATGTAGTGTGAGAGGGATGATTCTGACTTGGGTGATATGGACAATGGAAGTACCCCAAACCAGTATTATATGAGACAAAGGGTGAGGGATACACTTTCAGGGAAATATAATGAGTTTAGATTTGGACTTGATGAGTTTCAGATGTTTGTAAGACATTTAGGTGGAGATTTTAAGTGGTAAAGAATTGTGAACCAGGTACATTCAGTCTCTTTCAACCAGAACCATTTTAGGCAAGTAGAGAGCACTCCAAAAAAATGGAATGAATAAATAAATGAATACATTTACAGATACAGTGCTTAATCTAAATGTCTAGATTAGCTAGTCATATTTGGAAGCCTCTAGCAATTCTGTGGTAGTTAAAGCAATGGGTAGAATGAGTGAGATAGCTCAGAGATGCAGAGTAAGATGTGGGTAAGGTGGAGGACAGAATCTGGGAAATACCAACAAGAAGCAGTGAATGGAAGACTGAGAGTCCACAGAAAATCATGACAGAGCAACCAAAAGGCTGAAGAAAAAGCCAGGAGATCTTATTTTCACAAAAGCAAATGAGGGAGTTTGTAGAATGCTGAGGGTCATAAATGTGATGGAAGGGGACTGAGGATGTTAAGAGTTGGGAAAGTGGAA